ACCTTTTGCAAGCCAGAGCCCCCTTTTTTTGTGCTGATTTGACTGGGCTAATAGAATTTTAAGGAAAAACAAATTGTCACAGATAAATAATCTATTTTATGACAAGAATAGATTCCCTAAAAATGCATTGATCATATAGTGCGTGATCATGTGCATAAATTGCAAAAAATCATATGATGAAAGGGCAAACGCTTGTTTCCCCTACTTTCATTTTTAAAAAATGACTCAATAAATTATATATTTTTGCTATATGATATTAATTTGAGCTAAAGAAACTATCAGAAAATCGATTTGTTTAAAATGAATTTTTTTGTCTCTAAAAATAGTTGATTCCTTAAGCATCACTTTCAGATTTTTTACGCATACTGTTTTTTAATGTTCGTTAAGGCTGCCTGTTTTTGATTGGAGAATCTTTAAAAAAAAAAGTATTTACTTCATTTTTACGTATTTCCAACATCAATAAGAATATTCCATTAAAAAGGTATAATATTTAGAATCTTTTGCAAAAGGTCCACTTTCCCAATAATTAAGTTATTCTTCCAAAATCTACCAACCTAAAATGTCTACGCCACATTGAAGAATATGGTTTCTTTTCGATGGACAAATGAATCATTTGCGCCTGCGATGTTTATTTACTTTAAATAAGCACCGTCACCTACGTTTTGTAGCAAGATGATTGGGGGTAATAAGTATTTCTGAAATAAAATATACAATTACTTGTTTACTTTGCTTTATCAATTGATAATGGAACGTTGCTTCTTCTAGTAATAGCTAATTATTGCAAATAATGTTTTCTAAAAAAAATAATAATAAATTGAATTAAATAAATTAACCTGCTAATTGCTTGAGTTTAGGAACATTTTTAGATCAGTTATACTGGTCCATTCCAACTATTGATCTGGGCAAAAAAACACAGTTTTATAACTTAGAGGATAAACATTTGTAAAATCGTTATTTTTAACCTTTTTTTCATATTAAGAAAAAGTTCATTAATGCAATTATAATTATTATAGATTCCAGGTCTTGGAAGAAAAAAAATTAGAGTTTTGCAATAATTTATTGTACTCATTTTGCTGTAAACATGAACACTTTTAGGTGATAGGATGCCAAATCACATTTTTACACAACTTGAGGGAAATTTCAACTTATATCGTAATAAACCTCAATTAATATGGGCTTCGAGCTTTTAAAGAAGGAAGTTTACCTAAAAGCGTGATACCTGTAGTACAGTTTGAAGATGAAAAAAAAAAATCCCGAATAATCCATTTTTGTTTATGAATAGAACTCAGTTTATCCGCTCATAAGTCCTCTTTGAATCGTCCCAACAATGACATACAATACTTTGAAGTGAATTTTGTCATATTTATTTAAAAAAAAAATTAAATTAATTAAATTAAACATTAAACATGTTTTAATTGTTGTAACATGTTAGGATTGGGCACTGCCAGTTCACACATATATATCTTTTAAGAGGTCTAGAAGCTTCTACTTGCAAAAAATGCAATAATACACCTCAATCTGTGAAAGAACTTCTGGTAGAATGTCCCCAATTCGAAAGTCACAGAAAAAAAATAGATATAGGAAAACACTAAAAGGCATCCTACAAGATAATGAAGAACGAGTTTCTATCTATTTTGTTTAAATTTTTAAATATTATAAATTACTATATTAGAATATAAATTATAGAAAACGCCAATGACCCATCAGGGAAAAGGCGAGAAAAAGCGAAAAAAAAATTCCATGATATCGATATTTCTTGATAAAAAGTAATATTTCTTTTAATTTTTATTGCATTATTTTAATTATTGTTTATTACTATTATAATATTTTATTAATTAAAGGAATAAATTTAAATATAGTATGGTCATAAGGAACGCAGCCACACCTTCAAAATGGCGGTACCCCCTCCATGACAGTATAAATCTCGTACGATTAAGCCATACTATTCCTTTGCATTAGTGCTTTTAAATTATAACGAATCCACTATTAGTTGCCTTATCTTCTTCCCCTCTTCTTCTCTTTTCCAGCTAATTTATCTCTGTTCCTCTTTCCGGCCGGCACAAAAAGGAGAAGACTCTCCAGACATCGGAATGCTTTTTATTTCTCGATCCATTTATTCTCCTATAACCCTCGAAGGTAACCGCTTACAATTAATCCAAAACGGATTCTCACATCTTGCTCCTTTTGTGACTCGGTGCCAAAGACCCCCTGCTAATGACGCTTCGGCGTGACTGCACATGTAAACTGTTCCTCTGAAAATAATACAAAACATAAAATATTAATTTTCGTAAACTATTAATGTCAACGGTTTAAAAGCGCTGACAATCAAAATAAATTAAATTTAAAAAATCTATTTTAACCTTGTTATCGAATACTCCGTGGTACAGACCCATTTTAAAAAAATTATTAACATCCGCCTGAAACTTCGTAAATAGTTTATCGTGAGAATATTTTATAATAAACTCAAGAAAAAAGATTGACTTCAAAAATATTGAGCCGTGACCTGCACCCCCAAATCGTCAAAATAATGTGGTTGTAAAGACCAAACTGTCCAATTTTTTTTTTTAGGATATCTTTTTTATCGATTTTATTATCAAATTATCCCATGGTTCAAGTGGAAAGCAAATGGGTATTTACGAGGTTTTAGTAGCTAATTGATTAGATAAAGTTTGCCGACTTCCAGATAGAAAACTCCTCAATTTCTAGAATTTTCATAAATAAAAAAATTGTTGGTTACGATGTCATGAAGCTATTTATAAAGTTTCACGCAGATATTAATAATTTGTTAAAAAAGGGTGTGTACCACGGACTGACATCGTCCGCTTATAGCAAAAAGTTATTGATAACATTTTATTAAATAAATCACTGTTACTACAGCTTTATCATTAATTACGGTACAGAACCTTTCTATTAGTATTCTGGAGATTCAAAAAAAATTGTGCTCATAATGAAAAATCTCAACATGTGTCTTAAGTTGTAGACATCAATAAATAAATTTGGTTCTTTTTCTTGCTACGGTAAGTTAAATTATTACCATATATAGAGATAACGTTGAAGTGACAAAGCAATGGTGAGACCTGGACACTAAACAGCGCGCGATTTTGTTGAAAGATTTGAGAGAGAAAAAAACATATATTGAAAAAGTCTAATAAGACCTGCTTACAAAAACTGATCAGTCAATATCTCCTGATATGAAGGACAGGAGTTAAGATACGGCAACGTGGAAAGCCAAAAAAAGAGATAGGTAGATCAAATTAACAAATATATAATTGAGTTCCAGAGATACAGTAGGCAGAAAAAGATCTACGAGGAATGCCTAAAAAAAAGGTATTATTTTGGTTCAATTAAAGAGGGCTTAAGATTGTATGATCGAAGTATAGAAATGTGTATCTTAATATTTTAGCTCTATCAAATGTTTACTTAATGATTTTTGCTGTAGATCAATGATATAGAAATAGAAATAGAAAATAACTTTATTCTGGGACAAAGTAAATTTATAATAACAAAATAGAACATAATTAAAATACTACATCTGGCCAAAATAAAACAATAATAAAAAAGAGAAAGTAAAGAAAATATTAGTTAAACAAGCTATATACAAAAAAAAATCTATATACAAAACACTTAAAACTATGATAAAACACTTAAGACTATGTACAGTAGGAAAAATTATAATTATACTCTTTTGAAAAATAAAATAATAAAAAATACATTGAGTTCTTCTTTAAAATGAGGTGTGTTTCTGCTAACAAAGAAAAGACAAAGCTGACAATATAAAATGTCAGTGTATTTAAATAATGAATAATATGTAGACTCGTCATTGTCAAATGCTAGCTATAGGTACAGATTTAATTATATACGAATAAAAAATAATAAAAAAAACAAACAAACAATAGATGCGGTCAGTGGCATTAAGAGCAGGAAGATATTGTAATATCCCTAGTGAAGTTCACAGTATAGAATAGTACTATCGTTTGATGATGACTAGAAATGTATAATATCAAAAGTTTAGCAAGTATCTGACTGTTTTTGGGATAGGAATTGGAATAGGAGGGATTTGAATGTGGATATGGAGGGGGAATGCCGAATTTTGATAGGTAGAGAATTCCAGAAATTGACAGCGCGAGCTATAAAGGAATTTTGAAATGAGGCAGATTTGTGAGAAGGGATGTAGAGGTCAGAAGGTCGAGATATTGTTGAAAGGTAATGGACTGAGGAGTTGAATTGGAGAAGGTTGTAGGAGTAAGAAGGACGATAGTTGTTGATGATTTGATAGAGAACGTACCTAGGAAATATTGTCTTCTAAAGGAGGGGAAGAGCCACCTTAACTCAGTGTAGTGGTGAGAGACATGGGAGTACCTCGGGGCACCAATAACAAATCTTACGCAGCTAAGCATTAATCTTTTCAGTCTATATAGCATATTAATATATAGCATAACGAAGTAACTTAAGCTATAAAAAAAAAAATAATAAAATAGCCAACTACAACTAAAAAATGCCCACAAATTTAATTATAACCACAAATCTCAAGTTATCAAATTCCAAATTCACTGGTTAATTGATGCTATTTTTTATTAAGATTTTAAAGTTATAAAATCTATCGGTTAAAATTTATAGTCCGTGGCACAGACCCCTTTTTATCAAATTATTAACATCAGCCCGAAATTTCGTAAATAGCTTCATCTAATCATAACATACAATTATTTTATTTACGGAAATTCTCGGAATTGGGACGTTTTCAATCTGGAAGTCAGCAAACTTTGTCTATTTAATTAGATACTAAGAACTCGTAAATACCCATTGGTTTCTAAAAAATCCTAAGCAATTTTTTTTCATAGATTTCTTACCGAAAATTTGATTTTGTCAAATATCATTTTTCTTTCAAATAACTAATAAGAAATCGAAGACCAGAAGTTTATGGTGTACAGAAAAATACACGATGTACTGAGCTGTCTTCTTGACTCTTCTAGTTGTTACAAGTTAATACACAGTTGCCCAACATGGTCATATCTACCTACGCCACTTCCACCTCCAACGTCTTGCCAATTGCGCTAATTATAACCATCCTCAGGCGCCAGTGCTTTAGGCTCATTCTCCGGCTGTTTCTTCTGGAAGTAAAGTAGTTCCAGTTAGAGTGTGGCAAAATGAGAAGTTTGGTTGTGGAAGTGTTTGGCTTTGTTGCGATCGCCTGCGTTTTTGCTAAGGTAGGTACTTTTGGTTTCTTCTTTTACCCATCCATAGGCGGATCCAAGGGATAGGATTTCGGTCAGTAGCCTCCCTCCAAAAATGGTAAAATGTGACCATGTTTTATGGCAAAAAATATTAAAGAATTATTTCTTAAAGTATTGTTATTTAAAAGTATAATTATATTTACAAGTCCTAAAGAATCACTTAAACACCATTTCATATGTACTTAGTATCTTTCTTTTTTTTCCCAAAGTAATTATCGTTATATATATATTAAAAATCTGGTGTGTCCACTCACACGACTTTCCTACCTATTTCAGAAAAGTTTTTATATCTTTACGTATGTTCATGAAGAAACAAAAAAGAATTAAACTAAATATATTTTCCTGAAAATTGATCAAACAAAAGATTTGAGTACGATTTATTTGATAAATTAAGGCAATAAAACCAGCTTAAGGTAGATCAGTGTAAAAATTTCAATACTCACTAATATTGTTGATCCAAAACTTTTTGCCATAGCTTAGTATTCTCAAAAAATAATTTCTGTTAAAAGTAGAGGAAATAGTGAAGGTTGTGTGCAACAGAATTTCTTAATTTAACTTAGTCATCTTTATTCTCTTATTCACCCCTTTCTAACACCAGGAAATGAACTCGTAATCTTTCATTGGGAATTGAATCGCTGAGACATCGTTAATAGTTGTCCAAAATGAATGATTTTTGTATGGCTTTTTTTTTTTTGTTTTGTTGGTAATTTAATTAACTTTCAATAGTTTTATTATAAATTTCACCGTATAATATGTACTTAGGGAGTTAGGCCCCATAACATTTTTCTTTTCTTTATACCTTTTTTTCCTGATTTTTTTCGGGAATTTAGTCTATATACGAAAATTGAAAGGACAATGATTAAAACATCATAGAAAAGTTTCATCAAAATAGTTAGAGCCGTTTTCACGCTACAGTCTATAGAAAAACATGTTTTTCATTTATTGAGCGCAAGCTATTGCGTATGGAGCAACGAATTTCTGTCACAGGCATCAGTAGTCAAAACCGTACAAAATAAAAAAAGAAGAAACAAAATCGGTTCAGTAGTTTCCGAGAAAATCTTGGCACAGACAGACAGACAGACCAATGGCTAAAAATGTGTTTTTCGGACTCAGGGGCTGTGAAACGTATAGATCCGTCGAAAACCGCATGTCGGAAATTTGACCCGATTGCAATACTTTCCTTACCTAGTATAAGTAGGAAAGTAAAAAAAGAGTTTTCGGTCTGAAGCGACCCAAAAATTAAATCCTGGAATCGCTAGTGTACCCATCCATATTTCTATCCAACAATCAATTTATAAATTTACGGCACAGGCACATATATGCTTATACCTATATATATATATTTTACATTATACCTTCTTTTCTCCTTTGAGACAGATTGTAATATTTTTCAATAAATAAGTTAAAAAGTAAAAAAAGAACCTTTTATATGATAAATAAATTCCATCACCTATTTCTTTTGTTGATAACGTCGATTGAATTGAATGTTTTTTTTTACTTATTTAGATTACTAGATAACTTTAACAATCTTCCTCAATTCAGTTTTAACTAATGCCAGGATGAAAGCTGTAATTGTGACAAATCTCAAAAAACTGTTCTCGTCAGAAAATATTAAAATTGTGACGTTACATGATATGAAGGAATTTTCACGTGAATAATAACGAGGGCAGGGTACCACCAATAGTATTCATAGTTTTGAAGAAAAAAAAGGCACCATAAAGCGAATGAAAGGAATTTGAAGGAGGCAAAAACAAACTAACTAATTGTTTTTGTTGTTTAATAATGGTGCGATTGTTGTTTAATAATGGTGCGATTGTTGTTTAATAATGGTGCGATTGTTTTTATAATAGCGGTTTAAAGCTGGCAAAGAAATATCCGGAGATTTGTAGTTAGGAATCTGGTAAATAATAATAAAATTTAATCAACTTCTTACTGAGTGATGCAATAATTATTATTATTATGACGCCAACTGTATTTTATTTTTTCGGTATAATATCAGTGTATTATTAAATTAAATAATTTTTCGTAAGTTTGTGCCATTAGAGAGAGCGGTACTTGAAAACATAATTTTCTTTTATATTTTAAGAGATAAAGACCTTATGGTGTATTGATTGAACTCCGACTAGAGAAACGAACAGTTTTAATTTTAAATAATTGTGAAGTAAAATCTTTTAATTAAAATTTATTTTTAATTGTGGGTTGATGGTTGACTGTCGTAATTAATGAAGAGAATGATGGTTGGGGCGATCAGTCAGAAATAAAATGGCAAAAAATAAATGATAATATTTATTTTAACGTTTGCCGATATTATCAATAAATAATAATAACGATTACAAGATGCGTTATTATTTATTAATATTTACGTTATTACATATACGGTTATTATTTATTTCTTAGTTCTTGTCATTGTTATTATTCTACCTTTGTAACCGTTATTATTATTTATTTCTTAGTTTTTATTATTGCCATTATTCTACCTACTTCATTTTATTTTAATGTTCACTATCTACTTCATTTTACTTTAAGTTTTTTTTTGTTATGTTTTTTTCCTACATTGTTTATGTTTCTCATACCTTGCTTGTTATCTGGTTCTTTTCTTAGTCCTGATGAAGGCCTGAACTTCAGTTCGAAACGTTGGCAAATGTTAAAATAAATATTATTATTTATTTTTTGCCATTTTATTTCTGACTGATCACCCCAACCATCCTTCTCTTCAAAATTTATTATTCTTCTTCTGTCGGCTCTCGGAACCACTAAGTTGAGTCTTGGTCCCCTTCAACATCGATCGCCAGTTTTCTCTATCAAGTAAAAAACGCTACAAATTATTTCACAATGGTATAATTGTTTGGAAATACAATTATACATCTAAAGTAATACTACCTTCCGAGTTACAAAGAAAAATTACAAAAGGTTATTCCAATTATTGGACTAAACCTTTTTTTTTTAATCATTAGTAATATGCTAAAAAGAAATATCATTAGTTCATTAACACATTCAAAATTTAAAAACCAAACCAAGGATATAACATTTGGAATAGAACATATAAAAAAAACCGGAGACCATATCATTGTTCCTAATTGTCCGATTTTTTTTTTTTTTTTTTTTTTTTTAGTAAATTTCGTAAACTTTTAATTTAAAAATTATTTAAAGGGCGTCGATGAAATGACTTTAGCGAAGTTTCATCTAAATCTGTACATTCGTTTAGGAGCTACAGTCTATAACAACGCAGGTTTTTCGGCCGCCATTTTGAAAGTAAAATGAGGATAGTAATGTCAATGAAGGAGAATCATCCTCGGGTGACCTCTGATTTTTTATCAAAATTTGAAAAAAAAAATCGGTCCAGTAGTTTCGGAGAAAATGCGTGGACGGCGGACGGACAAAAAAATTTTTATTCGTTTTTCGAATTCTACGCGTCCTGAAACATGAAACCTCAAAGTTTGAGAGGGGGTTAAGTTTTTGAATTTTTTGGTCGATCACAATGGTTGATTATTGAAAATAATAAACCAAAATGTATTTAACATTGTTAAAAAACAAAACAAAAACAATTCAACAAATAGGATAAATATTGAGGTTGTAATTGAATTTACTTCTACATCCAATTGTTAAGCCCTTCTAGATTATGTATTATTGCCTCAAGGAAGAATTATTGAAAAGCTGACTAAAACAATTCAAAAGTCTTAACCGAAATCAATTTTTTGTTTTCAATTTCAAAACGTTTGCAAAGAATTATTATATAAAATATGTTTTTGTATTTAGGTTTACTTCAATTAGCGAGTCTTTCAATTGGTACACTGACCAACTCTCATGTGTACGCAGAAAGGTCATAAATTAATAAATTTTAACAGAAGTAAGTTGATGATATCAATTCGAACACTTAGAAGTATAAACTACCGATTTTAAAAATATCTCCCTATATTATCTTTTTTAAACTATTTACCAAACCATTTGGGCGAATTGCGGATTAAAGTTTGTAAAGAATGATTTTAAATCAATGGATAATGTAAACATAAAATAAATTTATTTTTCTTCTAATGAAGCATACAGAAAATTTGAAGCTAACAAACATAAAGTTAAGAAGATGAAAAAGGTTGAAGATAATCAATTCCTATAAGAATATCATAGGAATTTTCAATTTTCTATCTAACTGTTCTATTTACAATATCTAAATTTTTCTATTTATTTTTATTTCTTATATAACTTCATATTCCTTTTCTCTGTTTTACATTTTATTCTAAGATAACCATTTTAGTACTTATGTCACCTTATTTTTATTATGTTTACATCACTAGTCCACACGTTGTAACCGTTATTATTATTTAGTTCTTAGTTCTTGTAATTGTCATTTTTTTACCTACTTCATTTTACTTGAATATTCACTTATCTACTTCATTTACTGTAATTTTTATTTTACCTACATTGTTTATGTTTCTCATACATTGTTATCTGGTTCTTTTCTTAGCCCTGATGAAGGCATGAACTTTGGGTCGAAACGTCGGCAAATGCTAAAATAAATATTATTATTTATTTTTGCCATTTATTTCTGCCATTTTACCCCAACCATCCTGCTCTTCCTATAAGAATAAATCAGTTCCCATTCTTTAGAAGTAAATAATTCCATAAAAATAAATATAAGAAAAAGAAAACTATTGTTAGAACTCACAAACTATCTTTAACAAAATCAGGATTTATTATATTCTAATTATGCATGGTCAAGAAGTTGGAAGAAAAAAATATTTTCAAAAATATTCGATACACTGCTAAAATAATGTTTTTTTCAGTTTGGTTTACAGTTATTTCTCTGTATTAAATTTTTGTTTGTTTTCGTATAAAAATGGATTTTTTATGTTCATTATTGTATATGAGGTCAAAAAAATTTTACCTTCTTTTATTAATTACAATTAATGCCTAACAGCTAACATTCTCCATCTTCAAGCGTGTCTTTAAAAATATTTATTTCTAATAAATGGAAGCAATTGAAATTATAAATTGAGAAGAAATGAACGAAAGAAGTTTAAAATCCTTAAACTATTTCTCCTTAGATTATTATACAATATTAAGCATATTTAATTAATTACTGTAAATATTTGTACGGTGAACTATAAATAAAAATATGAGTTTAGTCCATACCCCACTTCTTCTTTGTTCGGGTATAAATTCGTTGGCACTATATGTCACCTAATTACTCGGTACTACTATAGAATCTCACACATCGCGACAAACTACATTAAAGTATGTCATTTACGATTATATCACCTTGGTTTTACCTGGAAGCGGTGGGCGAATATTAAACGATATCAAGATTTAAGTAAACATATCAATCCTCCAATATAGGTTAAATTATATAAATCATGTTAACAATGTTAAGTTTCTAATACTAATTTAGTTTTTTCATTTAATTTTTTGTTTGCAGGTCGAAATTCCGCCTAGAGATTATTCAGTCGTCAGAACTTTTATAAACAGACGAGATATAAGCGATGAAAAAGAGCTTGTAAAGCTAATAAACAGCGAAGACGAGACGAGGAAGACACCATTGCATAAGGCTGCATACGAAGGGAGAGTGGACGTGGTCGAGGCGATGCTCCGGGTGGGCGGGGACGTCAACCGAAGAGACAGCCGCTACGGGAACACCGCAGTGCACTGGGCGGCCTGCGGCGGCAGCGTCAAGGTCCTCAGGGTCTTGGAGGGCTACGGGGCCAACCTGTCGGCCATCAGCAACGGGGGCTCCACCGCGCTCCACCTCGCCGCCTCCTACGGCAGGGCTGACGCGGCCAAGTGGCTCATCGAGAACGGGCTCAGCACAGAGGCCAAGGAGATAACCAACCAGACCCCTCTGCACCTGGCGGCCATTTCCAACCATGTGCCGGTCCTCAGGCTACTGATGGAGAGGGGTGCCAAGAAGGAAGCCACAGATATAAGCGGGAGGACCCCCCTCCACATGGCGGTGGTCGCCAACCGGCTGGAGGCAGCTGAGGTCCTCTGGGAGAAGGGAGCCAACCTGGAGGCCACGGACCTGGACGGCTGGACAGCTCTGCACTGGGCCGCTATGAGAGGACTGGCCCCGATGGCCAAGCTGCTCCTGGACCACGGAGCGGACATCGCCGCCAGGGACTACGACAACAGAACGGCCCTCCACCTGGCGGCGGAGCAGGACTGGGCCGATGTGGCGGGGCTGCTCCTTGACAGGGGGGCGGAGGTCGAGGCCCGGTCGAAGAAGGGACTGACCCCCCTGCACCTCGCGGCCAGCGGGGGGCGGCTTGGGGTGGCCCAGGTCCTCTTGGAGCACGGTGCTGACGTCAACGCTCTTTCCGATAAAGGAGCCACCCCCCTCCTCCTGGCCCTCGACTCGAAGCAGTCCACGGTTGCCGACCTTTTATTAGCCAAAGGAGGCAAGGTCTAGTGCAGCTCATCTTTGGATCACTCCAAAAGAAGACAGATCATTTACAAGACATTCATATATAGAGCATAAGATTTATAAAATTATTATTTTATATTTATTTTTCTAATTTGTATGAGCAAGTTTTATAAATCCTATTTCCAAAGTAGTGTTGTATTTTTTTTTAATATATGTTTCCAAGCTACTTTTTTTTTTTTTTTTTTTCACATTCTAAAGTAAAGCCTGCTTTTCAACAGAATATTATTCTTAATACTTGATATTTATTTCTTGTTGTTTTTAATCAAAGTTCCTTATATTTTTTATTCTTTTTTTTTATTTTTTTTTTGTAAATATAAATATAAATATATGAATGAAAAAGTGTTTATTAAAGTTTTTTTAAAAAAATATACAAAGTAAAATATATATATACAAGCAACAACGCATAGACAATGGACAATTCCGTCTATCGAGGTCTGTGTGTAATTAATAATAAATATTCATCACATTTATAACTAAAATAAATGAGCAATAATATATCGACAGTATTATTATGTTTTTATACATCCATTCTAGCAATTTTCTTTTTCAATGTCTCATTTGTTTAGACAGAGTTTTCAAAATACAAACATTAATACATCACAAATCCAATAAATAATAAATTTAAATTCAACAATAATAATAATAATCATCAAATACAATATAACAATGAAACAAATATATATATAGAATAGAAGAATCAACTTTATTCTGGAACAAAGTCTCTTAAGAATAATAATTTTGTACATACAAATTAACATTCCATCTGGCCAAAATACATATTACAATAAAAAAATAACTAAAAACTAAGTGATAGCAGAAGTATTTACCTTATTACATTTACATTACAGAACGTGACTAGACATCAAAACCATTCACACCCCATAATAATAAAAACAAAACCACCTTATAAACTATACAAATCCATATATATACATTAACAACAATCACCCCCTCAAATCAATCACCAATACATTATCAAATTCCACTTATTTAAAACCCACATTAAATTTCATTATCCATTCTTCAATAAATATTTAATTTCACAACCCACCATACTATTATCTTACCCCCCAATTCTATATTACATTAAAACAAACTAAATCAACACTACAAAACAATAAAAAAAAATAAATATAAACTAACAAATTCCACACAATACCACATATACTCATTCATACATATATAACCTTAAAACACCACCCCACCCCAATAACACCACCTAACCAAACCATAAAACACAAACCCAATTCAAACCATCAACCCCCTCTCACAACACCCACAAACATAACACCCAAAAAAATACTACAAGCCTTTTCAAAAACCAATCCACATACCACAAATCTCAATAACAACACTCCTAAACCCCCTCCTCCCCACCCAAATACATCACAACAACTTCACAATCCAAAAACTAACTCTTAAATCTCTCAACATTAATACAATTATTGACTTTCTGAATTTGCAAAATTGTCATGGTGTAGTGTACTCTCTCTATTTATTGAATATATTTGAGACTGTTGATGGAAGATGTGCAGTATCTTATCTTTTTCAGTATTTATAATTCATGTATCGGAGAAAAGTTACATATATACTGGTATTTAAGATATTCAATTCTTTGTTATTGAATCTTATAATAATAAAAGCTTAATTAAGAAAATAATTCCAAATAATCTTTTCATATAGTGTTGTCCAAAATCCCACTTTGCAAGACCAAGAATGATAAAAAAAAAATGTTTTAGTGAATACAAATTAAGGCGAAATAGTTACTAATACTTTACAATTTTAGTTATAATATGAAAAGAATTGGTATAACCAATATACTTTTGCATTTAACTTTTCCAATTTTTTATTTGGGCTTAGTTAAGTTACCCGTACCTGAAAAATTACAGTAATATCTCGATTGAAAAAAAAAACAAACTATAGGTAACTGCAAGATTGTTGTGAAACACTTGCGAAAGACTAAGACTAAGACTGAGTGCTTAAGACCAAGAAGAGTCTTAGTATATATATATACCAGCTCGAAATTTTTATCCAAAACGTCAACAAACAACATTACCTTAATGTTTTATATGGCTACATTGATTAATTTCCTGACAATCTATTATCCTGACTTACTGTACAATTCAACCATCCCATTTCTCTAAATCATTTAGAAATTATTGGCAGGAATAATGGAAATTTTCATTTACTATTTACTCTTTAGAGATTGATAAAGACAAAGCGTAATGGAAGAAAAAAAATGTGAGAATATCATTGGAGAATTCTAAAAACTATAATAAATATTCATATAATAAATATGAATGAAATTCACAAATATGTTCGTTAGGTTTTTTGTTCCATTAAAATTTCACTTCAATAACTTTTTGTGCTAGCTTAATTTTGCCTCATATTAGTTTCTATTGTAAGTAGAGCAGTAAGTAGAAGATGTTTGATGCGCGTATCAGATTTTGATTTCTTGTTAAAGGTCTCTTTTTCTTAACTTTTTTTCCAGCCTACTTTTTTTTTTTTTTCATTTAACAATATATCACATTCTAAGGTAAAACCTGTTTTTCTCCAGTATATCATTCTTAATAGCTAATATTTATTTCTTGTTGTGTTTAATGAAAGTTTATAATAAAATGAAAGTGTATAATATTTATAATAAAATTTGAGAATATTATTAGAGAATTCCAAAAAACTATAATAAATATCCGTATAATAAATATGAATGAAAGTCACAAATGTGTTCGATAGGTTTTTTGTACCATACAATTTCACTTCAATAACCTTCTGTAGTAGCCTAATTTTTCCTGGTAATTATTTCTATTGTAAGTAGAGCAGTAAGTAAATTGTTTTGATGCGCGCACCAGATTTTCTTTTTTAGTCCCATCCTTCGGGTTTGGTGCCATTTTCTTATAATTTAACATATGTCTATTATAGGCCATAGGTCACCAAAACACACAGTTTTTTTATGTATTACATGATTGTTTATTCATACATGATACAGAATAAACATACATGTAATATATAAAAAAACTGTGTGTTTTTTGTGACCTATGGCCTATAATAGACATATGTTAAATTACCAGATTTTTGTTTCCTGCAATGATTTGGCGAAACGTTGGCAGGTCCACTGTTCACCTGTACGTTGGAGATTCAAGACTTCGAGGTACGAATTTTTCCATTTACATTCTACTTTTATCGAATATTTACAAAACAGATAAATATTAAAAGACAGCTACATGTAACTTAATCTCTAAAATGTGGCATATTGAATCTTATAGTGGTTATGTGTACAATTTTCATAAGGCTCAATATGGCACATTCTGCATGGCATATATATATTACATATAAAAGCAACGGAGTAGTGTTTTTTACTCATCTGTCATCGAAATGGATCGGTATAAAGTGAAACTGACTTCTATTGATAAAGGCGAACTGTAATAAATCAAAACAAACCCCCTGGTATTTGGTGGCTGAGCAGGACTCGATTTACCGTTCGAACGGTGGGTCTGACATTCTACCCCCCTCTCCCCCACCTCTTCCCCCTTCCGACCTTTGCAAATGTCAAACATTTTAATTCTGCCAACATTCTCTAAACGATAATACTTACAGGTTGGTATATTTGTACTCCAATCAACAGTCAATAAATGACAAATTTCTGTAAGTAATCAATAAAATAAACTGAATAATGAAATTCCCTCACGAATACCATTAATAAAAAAATATTAACGAATAATTTCTATTAGTACAGCTTTGTTCACTTTTTTTTTGTCTCTTGTCTTGTATCGATTAAAAAAATAAATAAATAAATAAAAAAAAAATAAAAAAACAAAAAAAAAAAAAAAAAACCTGTACAACTACAATCCATGAAGGGTCTTGGGTTCATTTCCTTTTAGGGAAAGTACTGTTAAAGACCAACAGTTGGGCAGTGAGGAAGATCGGGCAAGGATCACGCACAACTCCTAGATTTTCCCCTCTTCATTAATTATTTTAATTAAGAGTATCCACTTGGTAGAGGGTAGCTGGGTATTCCCCAGGAGGGTCTCCCTATCCCAGGGTCACCCCACGACCAATGATATAGAATAAATAATTTTTCTGCCATATGCCGGGATTCGAACCTGGTATCTCGATCATTGAAAGTTCAGTACCCTACCACTGAGTTACCGCAATGCCTCTATTCATCCAATCCCTCTACTCTACTTATATGCAACATACGCATAAATATTGTTATACATTTTTATTATATCCATTTCATAAATGGAGGAAATTATTGATTCAGTATTAAAATAATGTATTTCTATTTATAAGTTACACATATTTCTGACATCAAATAAATTTGTAGCAAATATGGAATAAATAAATAAATAAAAAGAATAAACTGAAAATAAGATAACATAATAACACAAAAGCAAAAGATAAAACAGTAAATAGATCAATAGAATAATTCTCTTAGCCAGCGCCTCAGCAGTCTTCCGGGCGGTTTATATGGGATCGTGCCAATAGATGGAGTTTGAGTAAGTGGATTTGAATTTTGAATCAGTCTGTCTGAAAATTATTAAAGCGGTCTGTGGCAGCAGTCGTGATAAAAGGAATCAAGGTCAGTGTGTAACTTAAGATTTGAAACGTAAAAGGGTGCGTCTAAAATTTTTTGAATGTCTGAATTATTCTTATATTTGATGTCTTTGCTGGTCCGTATAGCTCAATACCACATGCCCAAAATGCTTTAATGAGGACTTTGTAATTAGTTTATTTATAAGTCACCGATAATTTGAAACGTCTGTTAAGTAGCCTAGAAAGAAATCCGTATCACTGATTAAGTTTTGTTCTTTTTTGTTTTATGTGGTATGTCTATGTTAGTCATTTGTCCAATTTCAGTTCCAAAGTCATAAAATTTACAATGGAGAAAACTAAAAAAAAAATTGGAAACAAGATTAGCACAACGCATTTCAAAAACATAAAAATATATATACTGCTTAGCATAAAAATGCAGTACAAATTCAACTTTAATTACCAACAAAAAATAGGCATTGGGCAAAACAAAAAAAAAAAAAGGAGTAGAAAACTATTAGAAGCCATAAGCAAATTTCTAAATACTAAGGAACAAAAATTCCATTCCAATAAACAGATTCAAATCACGTTAGCAGGCAAACAGTGCATAGGGGAAATAGAATAGAAAGGAAAAGTATAAAGATAATTTAATTTCTTCATTGTGGTGTTACCTCACTATTACTATTGTCAAATAGACAGAATGTTATATTACTAAAACAAAATGTCTTCATAAATGCAACCACTTGTTAGACAAAATAAATCTTTTCTTTATTTATGTTAAACTAAAAAAAAAAAAAATGTAATTATCACAAGGGAACAAATCAACAGAATAAGTGAATTAAATTTCAAATTATGGTAATTAATAATTAGGGTAACAATGTATTTATAATTTATAACCCTTACATTGCAGAGAAAGGTCCATACAAAACTATAAATAAATAAATGACAAATAAAGTAAATATATGTCATAAAGGAGTTATATTTGCGACCT